CAGGCGACCGGTGAAACGTAGCGTAACCTTCAAGAGTTTGAGCGTTGTTGGAAACATTTGGAAGAACAATGTAAGAACTCAACTACATATAGAACATAGAGCCAGAGTTTATACACTGTTTAACAAGGTAATGTTACAGATTATAGATTATATTGAAACAGACTCCTCAGGTCTCTGGATGTCACCTTCTCAATGTGGACCGAGTGGAAAATCACTGCTGTGAAGGTTGTACAGATGTCATGTATGTGTGGGGTTGGGCACTTATCCCAGCATTCCTGCCTGTTGTGGCCCGTCGGCGTCACCAGGCTGCAGTTAGCTGTTAGCCGTTATCTCCCCCACGTGTCGGCGGGGATGAGGAGCTGCTGGATGGCCCCCGGGCCCCGCAGAGCCTTGTATGGCTATGGCCCGCTGGGAGAGGGACGATAAGCAGCTCGCAGGCAGCTACCATGTTTAGAACAATGTCTGTTTCTGTTAAATTTAGAGCGGTTATCGGACGCAGCTCTCCCTCCTGAGCGCACTCTCGTCTTTTGCTGCTGCCGCGTCAGGACCAGAGGTGAGTACCGGCTCTGAGAAGGGACAAAAAGAAGATTTCACTGAGTTTATGAATCAGGAGCAGATTTTCATCCAGCTGTGGAGGAGCTGGTGCTGCTGTGATGGGAGGAAGTGTTGTACTGTGGTAATGCTGTGGAGGCTGAAATGATGTTTCAGTGATCTTATGGTGGCTTTTGTAATGTTGTAGTAATGTTGTAATAACGTTAAACAGTTATCCAAATGTCATAATGTTGCAGTGATAATGGTCATAATGGTTTTGTATTGATGTAAAGTTATGTTATGTTAATTATTACAACATTAATGTTCTGTTAAAATTTACAGGTATTTTATTGTAAATTATTATTATTCATTATTTTTGTATTGATGCACAATATTTGTAATACTCCAGAGGTTTTGCTTAAGGAGGCATGTTGCTTGCCATATGCTGACTATGCAGTTGCATTGGGCCCCTGAGGCCACCAGGGGGCCCCCAAGCTGCCATTTTAGCCACAATCAGCAGACCATTATACAGTCTATGATGACAAGCAGCAATTTATTTTTTAAAACAGTAACACTGTGTGCTCCATATACTTAAGGATAAAGATGATTTCAGGAAAAACTTGTAAGTGCTGAAATCTTTGAAATCACCTCAACTTTGGATATTTGTTGTAGCAAGAGTTGTGAAGGGAGTCTACTGCACATCTCAGTATTGTAAATAGTTGCTAATGATAATTAAAGGAACATTTCAAACTCCATTAAAAAAATTTACCTTTTAAAAATATTTTGTAAAAAGTAAACATTTTGCACAGGGCCCCCAGGAAGCTAGAAACGGTTGTAATGATGTTGTGGTCGCGTCCTATTGATTTCTTTTGTCTTATGTTTGAAATATTGTTGCCGTAATGTTTTTGTATCACTGTAGAAAAGTTAAGTAATAATGTTGTAGGAGTTTGGCAGCGATGGATTCGTGTTGCAGTACAGCAGTAGTAGTTAACAGTTCGGGATCAAAAATCAATAGAGTGTTTCTGTTGATCAGTAGGAAGTTGTCCAGAGTTGTACAAGTTACAATAGTAAAGAAGTCCATAGATGTTAGCATTCAGTGAAGTTTGACGATGTAGACTAAAATATAGATTTTCCCTGTCACTGCCTGAACCCGCCGGGTCTTCATCCCCAAGGTCTGAGTCCTGGTCGGAGCCGCTGGACATCAGCCGGCCTCCATGTTCAAACTCCCCCTGTCCTTTCAGCTCCCAATCTGGGTACAGACTAGTTACTAGCTAATAGGACCGCTAACTAGCTAATAGCAGCTAGTAGCAAGTTAGCATATCAGCAGTGCAGCAGTAAGAGACTTCCTGTGTGTTAAAAGAGAAAAGTTCTTGTGTTGCAACAATCCTCTGATACTTTGGTCCCGGTGACGAGGAGCAGCTCTTGAATGCAGTTTAACGTTGGTTTGGTTTCTCTGAGACTGTGAGACTGATATAAAGTGTCACTGAGTCTCTTCAAGATTCTCCAAAAAGGACATAGTGTAAAACAGCCCAGGCTTTTATTTGCTTCAATTACTTAACGGGACAGGCCTTTAATTCCAAAACTCTTGTTAAATACTATCAAATTGTTTATTTAAACCAGTATGAATATTAGTTGTATGATTAGAATGACATATCAATTATGAATCATTGATACTTTGGTTTGTGTAAAATAAAGTGAAG